TCATTCTATCACTTTCAGCATGTTCTTACTCCACCGTCATAACAACCCTAGAAAGTAGAGCAATTTGGACTAGTATAAAGGAGGCAGAAGAAAGCACTAAAATCATTGTTACTCGATTTTGATGCAGAGAGCAAGGTGCAGTAGGCCCTTTGCCCTCTCGAATAGTTTCATCCCTAAACTTTCAATCACAGAATTGGGCTCAATATTCTATCTCTCCTAATTCTGTATTAACAACCATTCTGGTCAACTTTCTACATGTGGGCTATATAGTATGTCATGGCAAGGAGATTCATGGACTTAAATTATTTCATCTGTAGAGTTTGGACACTACCTGCATCCCCTGAAGGTGGTATGAATCACTACTAATTTCATGGCAAAAGAAGAAGAACATTGATATCATTAACTGATGATATTGGGTTTGAGAGACAGAAATCCCTACTCCCCAAGTCATTCAATGCAACAGTCCATTTGACCCCAGGCACAATGTATTCTTGTGAGTTTCTATTGCCTCTTATACAAACTGCTGACTGTGGAGAAACTTGATCAAAACATCAAAGATTACCAAAGAAGCCGAGTTTGTGCCCTTCACAACCATTGATGAAGCACCTTAACCTCGCCTCCTCTTGATGCCTTGCAAATGGTCATCTGTCTTCCTGACTACTACTTCATATGGCTTATTTGTAAATTCAAGCAAATGTGCTTCTGACTGGCACTGATACATCACTGATGCCAAAATATCAGAGAGGATGAAGTGTAAGGACATATTTTTTGATTCAGATGGAAAATATTACAGATTTATGGGTAAGTGATGACAATAGCCATTCCATAATATCTTCAAATAATCAGTATCTTTCCATGCCTCCCTTCACTGAATTTTATGACCTCAAAACTTATTCAAAGAAATTATCTACTTGCTGACCCAAAAGGTATAGTGGGTAGGAGTGGGGATGGGGCTGGTTGCCTGAATAATCCAGCTCTGACTTTTCACTTGTTGGATTTGCACTGCTTTCCAATGACCACTTACAGAGCCATAATGCACAGAACATCTATTGATGGCCCATTGATACTGATGTGATTTCCCGTAGTGGATTGAGGGCAGCACAGCCTATAGCCATTCGTATCTAAAGGTTATGTATAATGGATAATAGAGGAACATGAAATAGCAGAAAGAAATTTGCACGGGAAACAGAAGCGGTAAATAGTTTCAGTGAAAGATCTTACTTGGGTTATACAGAAACTGCAAAGGGGGACTGAAAAAAAACCAGATGACTCTTATAGACTCAGCAAGAGTTGAGAGTGAAATGGTTTCATATTTTGAAATATAATACTTTTTTATTTCAACCACAGAAAGCCATTTAAAAATCATCTTGTATGTTACAGTTCTTATGCGACATCTTTCACTTGAATGCCTCTTTATGAATTCTTACTCTGCCCTCCTGAGGTGGTCAGTGATGGATGAGGTAAGTAGAGGAAGAGATTTTAACTGATTATCCAAAGTCACATAATGTCCAGTCCATGACAGAACTCAGAACAAAGTTCCAGTGTTTGCCATCAACATCTCCTCATTTTGAACCCACTCAACCTACTGTGCTAGTATTTAGCCTGATCCTTCTGCATTTTCAAAGTCACACAGAAAAGCATTTCAACAGATATCTCTCACTGATCCACAAATCTCAGTTGCAGTAACTACTGCAATGGATGACCTGGTAAATCTAATTTAATTTGTGATTTAATAAGAAAAAAAATGGTGGATTTATTTAGTAGACCAAGAAGTAAATGATCTGTAAGTTCTGCTGCAGTGCTAGAAGGGCAGCAAGGCCTAGCACTCAACAGCATGTCCTCTGGGGTCAGTTTGCTGCTCTGGCTTAAAGCTCAAAGCTCAGTATCCTTACTTTTTAGTGCTGTGACCTCCATGTGATCTCTTACCTTGGCTGTGCCTCAGTTTCCTCATTTATAAAATAGATTTAATACTGATAGCTACCTTAAGGACTGTTCTGATAATGCAATGAGCTAATACAAGTAGAGTGCTTAGCATAATTTGTTTTTTTCAATAAACTTTTACCGACAGGGCTGCTATGGGCCAGGCACTGTTCTTAGTGCTGGGGTACAGCCATGAATAAAATGGCTAACTCTGAGAACCAGTGAATTTTAATAGTGAATAATGATTATATAGGTAGTTATGGTAACAACAACAATAATAATATTTAACATTTATAGTATACTTACTGTGTTTTAAGTCCTATTCCAAGTTCTTTAGTTATATTAACTCATTTAATTCTTATGAAAACCCTATGTTACAGGTACTGTTTTAAGACAGTTTTACAGATGAGGAAACGGAGGCCTTAAAAGGGTGAATAATTTGCCCAAGGTAACATGCCTAAGAAGCGGCAGAGGTCTGAAAAATCCATGCTCATAACCGTTGTACTATACAACCTTACTGTCATATCAGATTTATATGCCATTGTTTACCCTATTAAAAAAGGCAGTCCTTGAAATAACTGAAACATTCTGCTTTCACTTTTTTTTTTCTTCTGGCCGCACCACATGGCATGTGGAACTTCCCCGACCACGGATCAAACCCGTGCCCCCTGCAGTGGAAGCGCAGAGTCTTAACCACTGGACCACAAGGGAAGCCCTCCACTTTTGCTTCTGAAATGAATCAACATAATCTAACTAAACAAGTCTCAGAGTATATAATACAATTTTTTATATGAGTGGCCATATAATAAATTTAAATAGAAACATAGGTTTGAACACAGTATAAACCTATTAATAAGAAGCTTGCTATACCTGGATTTGTTTATTCCAGAGGTAAAGTCTTGAATCTAAAATATTATCTCTCTGTATAGTAAAAGTTAATAGAAGCTAACCTATAAGATAAGAGTTGGTCTCATAATTGAACAATAACATTTTAAAGGGCCTCTAATGTATTTCAACTTTTCAAATTACTCCTTGCTTTGAATGATACCATATTAAAACCCTGTTTATATTACAGTACTTTCTCATCTCCAACCTCCATTCCTTCAGCGCTATTCCTCATTAAACGTTATTACAAAACAAATAAACATACATGTTGGGTTATCCTGAAATGTCTGAGATAAAGGACACATTTTGATATTATAGGTTAATATTATCCACATTTAATAGAAGCATTGTTCAAACATATTCAGATTGTACGATGAAAATAGAAAAGAGATAATCATGAGCATCAATATAGGCTATGATCCTGTACTGTTGACATTATCAGCGACTCCCCTACAAAATATATCTGTTTATTTAACTTCCTACCCTTTGTTCTGTGACTCTTATAAAAACTGGTTATGGGAAATTTCTTATTGTTCACGTTTTTTAATAAATCAGACTCAACAAAACTTACTTTTTTATAATTATAAGAAACTCTAAATCCCTTTTTAATCTATCTCTCAGAATCATATTCAATGTATCTTTGTGGGTAGCTCCCCTTCAATTAAGAAATCAGGCTAAACCTGAAAAGAAGATACAAGTGACGTACTTAGAATTCTTTTTCTACCATGATATGTTATTCTTCTAGGAAAAGTGCTTCCACAAAATACATGTTTTTTAAGTTAATTTACATCTTAGACTGTAAAACCACTCAGACAAGGAAATTAATGTTCAGTCAAAATAAAATGCCAGCCAGAAAAATCAATACGATTTGCTATCAAGTAAGGGTGACTTTAATCAAGATGCCTCAAGAACAACATTTTTCTTAAAAGTGGAAAGTGTGCCTCACTACTGTTTTCTCTTCTACCCTCACAAACACAGTAACCACACAATTCTGCAGCCATTTACCTAGTGAAAATAAGAAGACATTTTTTTTAGTCCCAGTGTAAAACTCTGCATTCTTGGAAAGAGATTATGCCCTGGATTTTCCGATAGCTTCCAAGTAACTACTACTTTAATGAAATTGCTACCTGAAAGTTTGGTAGCAGTATTATTGTTTAACTATAATTTAAGAAGCTATTGTAGATTGGTACTTATGACTTCTAATGAGAAAACCGTAACAACCTTTTAATTGAAGGGGAAATGGTTAACTACAGTAATTGCAATCAATAAGACTGTGCTAGTAGCATAAATATTTCTTCTCAAAGAGCAATCCTTACGCTCCTCAGCAGTATTTAAGGTTAGGAAGTACCAAAAAATAAATAAATAACCTAATTAGAAATCTATTTGTTATTTTTTTTTTACATCTTTATTGGAGTATAATTGCTTTAAATGGTGTGTTAGTTTCTGCTTTATAACAAAGTGAATCAGTTATACATATACATATGTTCCCATATCTCTTCCCTCTTGCGTCTCCCTCCCTCCCACCCTCCCTATCCTACCCCTCTAGGTGGTCACAAAGCACCTAGCTGATCTCCCTGTGCCATGTGGCTGCTTCCCACTAGCTAACTATTTTACGTTTGGTAGTGTATATATGTCCATGCCACTCTCTCACTTTGTCACAGCTTACCCTACCCCCTCCCCATATCCTCAAGTCCATTCTCTAGTAGGTCTGTGTCTTTATTCCTGTCTTACCCCTAGGTTCTTCATGACATTTTTTTCTTACATTCCATATATATGTGTTAGCATATGGTATTTGTCTTTCTCTTTCTGACCTACTTCACTCCGTATGACAGACTCTAGGTCTATCCACCTCATTACAAATAGCTCAATTTCGTTTCTTTTCATGGCTGAGTAATATTCCATTGTATATATGTGCCACATCTTCTTTATCCATTCATCCGATGATGGACACTTAGGTTGTTTCCATCTCCTGGCTATTGTAAATAGAGCTGCAATGAACATTTTGGTACATGACTCTTTTTGAATTATGGTTTTGAACCAGGGACCTTTCGCGTATTAGGCGAACGTGATAACCACTACACTACGGAAAGAGCTCTCTATTTGTTATTGATAATATTAAGCCTTAGTTCAAATTTGTAGGTCGCAGAGTAGAGAGAGAAACTCCCCCCGGCTCCCAACTCCACCACAAGCAAAACAATACGTTGATTAAGAAGAAAAGCAAAGCATGGAAAAAAGGGCTTACCAATCACATAGGCTAGTAACAAGGCCAAAGTCACTGTGATTGCAGTGGCACTCAAGGCCGTGCACTTCCAATTGCAGCACCTGTAGGGTTTGTTGAAGGTAAAGGCAGGTCTGGAAAAGGTGCTTCGAGGAAGTGGCCTGGGAGGAGGCGAGTACACAGTATTGGATGTCAGAGGGTAGTTCTGACTGGCTGCACTGAAGATGGCCGAGGAACCAGATCCATGTTTGAACAGGAAATGCCTGCGGAAAGGAAACAAAAGTTTGGGCTATCAAAACCAAAGCCACTTGCTACAGAAATACAAATTCCACTAATTTGAAACAATCATGCTATGACAAAGCACAGGACAACTAGGAGGAACTCAACAAAATTTTCTTATACCTAACACTTAACTACAAAGTGCCATTGGTGATCTCCTTTTTGTTTTCCTATTTTAGACTTTTAAGAGGAGGAAAGAGGTCTTCTGTTCCCTGACTTGTTGACTAATGAAATTCTCAAATTCTAAGCATTAACATTCCACATTTGATGGTATTAACTATACTGCTCCCTTTCATTAAATATAATACTCAAAAAGAGAAAGAGAAGTATCATCAAGCATTTTGATAATATCAATGGCCTAGAGACCAGTATTTTTATTTAGAGACCAGCTTTGACAGACATATTTTCACCCAATATTTTATTATAAAAATTGCCAAACACATAGCCAAAGGAAAGAATTTTATAATAAACACACATCTACTCAAGAGAATATCAAGTAAAGAGATTCAGTAAATCTGGAGTAGGTCCTAAGCATGTATTTTTTAATAAAACGTCCTAGGTAAGTTTGATGTGCGTATCCAGTTGAGCAGCACTGGCCTTAGAAATGCTAGATTCAAATTTTAAAAGATTGTTATCAAATAAACAATTTTAAAAATTAAAAAAAACCCAAAACCACAGATGTACTTGTCAACTAAATTCTATATTTAACATATGACTATATTCACTCTATCACATATTTATCCACCTCTCCATTCCTATCTTAGTCCATCTTTTTTTAAAACATTTCATTTTTTATTCAAGCATTTCAAAGTAAGCTGCATACATCGGTACACTTCCCTTCACATATTTCAACTTTCATATTATTATCTAGAGTTCAGTAATTTTTTTACAGATTTTTAATGTAAAATTTATACACGATGGGTTTGAGTTTTTTAGATTCCACATATGAGTGATAGCATACAGTATTTGTCTTTCTCTGCCTGATTTATCTCACAGCATAATATCCTCGAGGTCCATCCATGAACTTGTTAAAATGAAGAGGAGAGTGTTGGTTACCGGGAGCTGAGAGGTGGGGGATAGGGAGATGTTTAAGGTTACAAATTTGCAACTAGCAGATAAATAAGTCTTGGAGATCTAATGCACAGTATTATTATAGACAATAATAATGTAAAATAAATATCAAACTTGCTGAGGCAGTAGACCTTAACCATTCCCACCACAAGAAAGAAATGATAATTATGTGACAGAGGCGTTAGCTAACATTACAAATGGCAATTGTACCAAATCAACATGCTGGACACCTTAAACTTATAAACTGTTATATGTGAATATAATATAAAAAATTATACACAATGAAATGCACAAATTTTAAGTGTACATTTACTGAGACTTGAAAATGCAATCACCTGTGTAACCTAAACCCCTATCAAGATACAGGACATTCCCATCACCCCAGGAAGTGCCCTCCTGCCTTTTGAAGTAAATCCCTATTCCCTAACCCCCAAAGGCAACCACTATTTTGCATTTTTTCTACCCTACATTACTTTTGCCTGTCCTGGAACTTCATATTGCTGTCATGTTTGAATTACTAGAGGATGATTATTGACAGCTCATGACTATTGTAATATGGGTATTTCATAAACAGTAGTGATTTATTCACATGTAAGGAGTTGGCATAAAAATATGTTTTTGTGCAATACTCTACCCTTATCGGGTACTAAGTGCCATGCATTGTGTTAAACACTCATTATCTCAGTTAGTATTCATTCATATGAAATAGGCTACATTATTATCTGCATGGTGTATTTAAGGAAATGGAGGCCGAAAGAGGTTAAGTAACTTGCTTAAATCCACCTAGGAAATGAATAACAAAGCCAGAATGAGATCTCAAGCCATTCCAGCTCCAAAGTCCTCAATCTACTCTACTATGCTGCCTGGGGCAGTAAAATGCACTGCTAAACAAAAAACATTCTGGTGCCACATTTTCATGTAATACATCACAAGACCCTTCCGCTGAGCAAAGAGCCAACATCACCTTGTACATGTCACATACGCCCAAATGCATAAATCATTAAGAATATTTTAAGACTGATTTTAGCTTCCATTTTTAAAGAACAAAAGCATACATGTTTAAAGGAAAAAACAACTGTCAACATGCCAGTTAATGAAAATATCCACATTAGAGAGTTTTGCTTTAGTATATGAGGATAAAAGTTATTTAAAGGGCAGGATTGCCGAGGGGAGTGGAGATTCACACGCCTTTCTGGAAGATAATTTGGCATTACGTAACAAAAGACTTAAAATATGCATATTCCTTGTCCAAAAATTATGCCTATAGGAATTTATCCTTAGGAAATGATGTGTATGACAATGTATATAAAAAGTCATTCATTGAAGTGTTATTTATAACAGCAAAAGATAAACACACAAATGCTCATTAATAGATAGTTGGGTAAGTATATTATTTTATAAACACGCAGTAGAATACTATACAACCATTACAAATTGTACTGTAAAAGAATATCTATTCACTAGGAAAAGTGTTTACAGATATCACCAGGTAAAAGCAAGTAGGTTTCAAAACAATATGGGCAATAGAATACAATTTTTAAAATAAAAAAATATATATGCTCATGGAAAGATAATAATTTGTGTTACCTTTGGATAGCAGGGGTATTTTTTGAAGTTTTCTGCCTTGAGCTTGTATTGTTCTTGTAACTAGTATCAAAAAGATTGGGAGTGGGGTCAGTGGGAAAAATGCAGTGACTAATACCAACCACATGAATGGGGTCAGTGGGAAAAATGCAGTGACTAATACCAACCACATGAATAGTGGGTTCTATTTATGTGAACATAATTTATTGAGCACCTAGAAAAGCCAGGCACCAAAGTAGGTACAGTATATGCAATATTTTGATCCTAATACATCTGTGGGGTTGATATTATTATTATAATCTTACAGATGATGAAACAGAGATCGAAAGAGGTTTAGTAGGAGCAAAGAGGTAATGATAATAGTTATCATTATAATGATAATAAGAGGTAACATTCATTAAGTGCTTACTTGTACCAGACATTATTCTAATTAATTCAGAAAGCATTACATAATTTAATCTTTACAACAATCCCATTACAGTAAGTATGTACATTTACAGATGAGAAAACCAGTGCACAGAGAGGTTAAGTAATTTGTCCACAGTCACGCAGCTAGTACTGGTAAAGCCAACTTTCAAGTCCAAGCAGTCTGGCTCCAGAGCCATTGATCTTAACCACGACATTACAGTACAGTATATCAGGGTTCTGCAGTTAGTGGACACATGAAGCTTTGAATCCAGGCCTTATAGGGCACAGAAGAAGCATGCTTTGTGTTGATTTTGGCATGTGGATGATATTGGATTGAGCCACACTTTTACCCTTTTTCTCTCAGGCCTTTGGGACCTGAGAGAAAAACGTGAGAATGATGGCTACAGAATCACAGAGTTAGAGAGATCTCAGAAATCAGCTAGCAGCCCAACACCCTCATTTTGCAGTTAGGGAAATGGAGGCCCAGAGAATAAAAGTGGATTATTTAAAAGAAACATCAGTAGTTAATGATATCAATGTAGTTAGAATCGAGGACTTGCAAAATAGTGTATTTCCACTACACTGTGCTACCTGCCAACCAGTCTTCACCAGATTACCACCAGGTTCTATCTAATCTTCTGGGTTAACTGACCAGGGCTAACCAAATACAATCTATTCAAACAGTACTTCATAATACATATCTATTTTTCTGTATGTCACATGTTCTCATAGTAAGTTTTAAAGACCACCTTAACTTTTTTGAATGAATGGAGAACCATTAGAAAGAAGCTAGTCTTCAGTCGTTAAGACTGTAAAGGAGTTATTGCTGCTTCTAAAGGCACTGAACGTATCCCCAGAATGGACAAACAGTATGTAGTAGAAATAAGATAAACATATTTTATTGAAAAAGTGACTCACAGCATTATGTTTCTTCCATTTGATTGTACTTCCTCTTTAGTCCCTGAAATAATCACCTCCATGTCATAAGGAGGTAGATTTCTTCTTTAATGTCTGGTTATCTCTCCCAGCCTATGTTTTCCCCTTTGGCCATCTAATTTACTAGTTGAGGAAGAAGTATAGCACTTTACAAACAGCAGAGTGGAGAAGCCTCCCCATTTCCCCACCACAACTTTGTGGTTACACTGGAGGCGATAATATGTCACTTGCATATAACTGATCCTATACAGCAACACTCTGATATGTTCCTATGGGATAGAAGAGAAATCTAGCAGTATGGGGCTTTTTTATTCACTGTTTGGAGATTAAAATCTTCGATCCTTTGCGTATTTATGAAGGAGAACAATTGGATTTTTGAGACAATGTAAGTGGCCCCATACGCTGGATATTGATTTGGTTTGGTATATCATTAAGAGGTAGAAGAAAGACAAAGAAAGACAGAGAATTGTTGGCTATTATGATGGCAATTACAAGCAATAATCAATATCCCTGAGCACTGTAATTTCATCTTGATATATACCAAAGGATTTCCAAATGCAGTTTCATAAGTAAAATATTACAACATAATGAATAAATTCGACAGTTGCAGCAGAGCAACATTTAAACTAATTCATATTTGAGTGGAATCCAAATCACAGTCCTCAGTGAGGGTAGATAATAAAATGAGTTCATATACTAAGGTTCCTGTTTTCTTATTAACAAACTGAGATTAAGATTCTCTGCTGAAAGTGATCTATACTTTGATGTGCATCATGAACAACAGCAATGCAAATGCTATGTACTGTCAAAGGCTTTGCAGTCCATTGTTGGAAAGCGAAACTACTGCCTAAATGTGTTTTCATAGTCCCTGAAAAAAATAGGAGCATAAAGACAAATGCACACTGCTAGACTTCAGCTATGTGCTCATAAAATCAGATCATCTGTCTAAGCACATTGCTTTTCCCAGGGGACCTGAGGATATACT